GTTTGTTTTCTACTTCTTTATTACTTTTTTAATGCTTTGTAGGTGAATTTCTTGACTCGAACTTATTGCTCACTAATATGTTCTCCCCCTCTATTCAATTTACTAGTTAACCTGTCCTTTGAGTATTTTGTTTCAGCAGTTTTTAAAATCCACATATATCTTCAATTGGTGAATATTTATTATATTAGTTTTAAATTTGTGTTCTCTTTAGTCTCTTCTTTCTGTTTCCTGTCTGTTGCCTATCTTTCATAGTCCAATTATGTTTTTCCTGGGAGTACCAAGTTAGGAGCTAGCAATATTTGGGGAGAAGGGTGAAGAAGACTAGGCTCTAATTTGTGTGTCTTCCGGTGATTTCAGGGAGTAGAGGTAGGGGTATAGGGTCTTGATTCAGGGTGATGCAGGTTCAGAGTTGGTTCCAAAAAGGAACTTCCCGTTGCCTGCCTAGAGGCATGATCTTCTCCAGGTCCTGCTATCCCTGTTCCAGTTTTAGAATGGGATTGAGTAAAGAGCACACAGGAGCCTCACAGGTCACCTGTACTTACTACCACTTCCCAAACTGGTTGTGCTCTGGCGCTTTCCTGATGTAATAATATACCCTCCAGGTAGCGCTGGTGTGGGAGCAGAGCTTTCTCGTATTACTGCATTGCTCAGGTTGGGAATTCTCCGCCGAAAGCAGTGTAAGGACTAGAAAATGTCACAACTAGATAGATCTTTCCCGGTCTGTAACATTTGGCCTGCTCCATCTCTTGGCTGCTGTTTCTGTCCCATTCTAGAAGCCAGTCACTTTTGGTTTTCCCAGTATTTCTGCCTATTTCTCATTAGACTACCTTTTGTTTTGTGTAACCCCTGCAGGGTTTGGGGGTAGATGGAGAACCAGGACCACATACTAGTTTGAAATCTTATGTAGGAATGGAAGTCATAATATTTTTGAATTTTTTGTTTCTGTCCGTGGCCCTCACCAAACTAATTCCCTCATGGGTGGTGATGTCTTCATATTCCTTAGCACAGTTCATGGTGGACACTTGCTGCCTAATAAAGTTTGTTGAAAGAATAGCACTTCAAAAGGATTCTTCATCAAAAATATGAATTTATTACCAACACAGAACTCCCTTAATGTTGTAAAAACATGACTAAACTTATTAAAAACTTAATTTGTATGCAGAGTTCAGGATCATTTAGATCACTTTAAAGGAGGTTGCAGACCGTAGAGTTAAAAAGAAGAAAATAGCTAAGATAATACAGTCGTTTTTTGGTATCTGTGGTGGATTGGTCCCAGGACCCACTTGGATACCAAAATCCAAGGATCCTCAAGTCCTGTAGTAGGTCCTAGGGAATGCATAGATACTCACAGATGACCCTGTGTGTCTGCGGGGTCCTTGTCCTGTGAACACTGTATTTTCAATGACTCGTTGGTTGAAATCCACAGCTACACAACTCGCGGATACTGAGGGTTGACTGTATAGTGTTTTATAATTCTCAGAGCATTTAACTTATGTTAAAGCAAGGCTGTTACTGTTATTCTCATTTTGTAGGTGAAGAAGCTGTGAAGCAGAGGTGATGAGAGTGTATCTAAGACCAAGCAGACAATGAGTGGGCCTGGAAACAGTCTCCTGACTTTAATTCTTTTAGAAACTGATGCTTTTCTTCTTTATTTTTCAATGCTCCACTGTCTTAAGTGGATATTTGATCAATGATTAAACTGACCCATGCCATTTTGTCTCTCATCTTTCTGTGCTGTGAAAATGGAACTCAGTGCCTTTCATTTCACCCAGAGTTTAAAGCCAAAGTTCTTACAAAGAGCTTATACGACCCTACATGATCCCTTTCCCATCCTCTCTTTTCATCCATAATACTTTATTCTTTGTTCACATTTCTTCTGCCACACACTGGGCTTTTTATTGATCACATATCCACTTAAGACGGTGAGGCATTGAAAAATAAAGAAGAAAAGTATCAATTTCTAAAAGAATTAAAGTACACTCTATAGTTTATTACTCATTGTGGTATTGTCTGCCTTTCCTCATTATAATGTTAGTTCCAATGCTTGGTATGATACATAGCTCAATGAATGTTTGTTGACTGAAAGAATACAGGAAGGAAATTCAAATGATTAAACAAAACTGCTAGTAATACAAGCATACCTTGGAGACGATGCAGGTGTGGTTCCAGACCACTTAAAATAAAGTGAGTCACATGAATTTCTTGGTTTCCCAGCATATAAAATTTATGTTTTATACTATACTGTAATTTAAAGTGTGCAGTAAGGATTATGTCTAAAAGAAATGTACAAATCTTAATTTAAAAATATTACCTAAAATGCTAACAAGCATTTGAGCTTTCAGTAAGTCACATGATCTTTTTGCTGGTGGAGGGTCTTGCCTTGATGTGGTTAGCTGCTGACTGAATCAGGGTGATGATTGCTGAAGATTAGGGTGACTGTAGCAATTTCCTAAAATAAGACAACAATGAAGTTTGCTGCATTGATTGACTCCTACTTTTGTGAAAGATTCATCTGTAGCATTCAGTGCTGTTTGCTATCATTTTACCCACAGTAGAACTTCTTTTCAAAATTGGTGGCAAACCCTGCTACTGCTTATCAGTGTAATCTTCTAAATCCAGTCATTTCAACAGTGTTCACAGCATCTATACCAGGAGTTCATTTCATCTCAAGGAACCACTTTCTTTGCTCATCCATAAGAAGTAACTCCTAATCTGTTAAAAGTTTTATCATGAGATTGCAGAATTAGTGACATCTTCTGATTCCACTTCTAATTCGAGTTCTCTTGCTATTTCCCCACATATGCAGTTAATTCCTCCACAGACGTATCGAATGCCTCAAAGTCATCCATAAGGGTTGGAATCAACTTCCTCTAAACTTCTGTTAATGTTGATATTTTAACCTCCTCCCATGAATCATGATTGTTCTTCATGGCACCTAGAATGGTGAATCCTTTCCAAAAGGTTTTCAATTTACTTTGCTCAGATCCATCAGAAGAATCAATCTGTGGTAGCTATAGCTTTATGAAATGTATTTCTTATAAGACTTGAAAGTCAGAATTACTCCTAGATCCATGGGCTGCAGAATGGTTGTTGTGCTAGCAGGTATGAAAATAATATTAATTTCCTTGTACATCTTTATCAAAGCTCTTGGGTGACCAGATACATTGTCAATGAGCAGTAATATTTTGAAAGGAATCTTTTTTTCTGAGCAGTAGATCTTAACAGTGGGCTTAAAATATTCAGCAAACTATACTGTAAACAAATGTGTTGTCATCAGTCTTTATTGTGCCATTTCTAGAGCATAAGCAGAGTATATTTAGCGTAATTCTTAAGGGCCCTAGAATTTTCAGAATGGTAAATAAGCATAGCTTCAACTTACAGTCACCAGTTGCATTAGCCCCTAACAAGAGAGTCAGTCTTTGAAGTTTTAGAGCCAGGCATTGATTTCAGCTCTCTAGCTATGCCATCTTAGATGGCATCTTCTTCTAATGGAAGGCTGTTTCTTCTATATTAAAAACTCTGTGGTTTAGGGTAGCCACCATCATTAGCTTCTTAGCTAGATTTTTCTGAATAAGGTGCTGTAGTTTCTACATCAGCACTTGCTGCCTCACCTTATACTTTTATGTTGTGGAGACGGCTTCCTTTCTTAAACCACATGAATCACCTCTGCTAACTTCCAACTTTCCTTCTGCAGCTTCCTCACCTCTCAGCCTCTCAGAATGGAAGAGTTAGGGCCTTGCTCTGGATTAGGCTTTGGTTTAAGAGAATGTGGTGGCTGGTTTGATTTCTATCCAGACCACTCAAACTTTCTTCATATCAGCAATAAGCTGTTTCATGTTCTTGTCTTTCTTGTGTTCACTGGAGTAGCACTTTTCATTTCCTTCAAGAACTTTTCTTTTGCAGCCATAGCTTGGCTGTTTGGTGCAACAGGCCTCGCTTTCGGCCTTTCTCGGCTGTTGACATGCCTTCCTTGCTAAGCTTAACCATTCCTAGCTTGTGATTTAAGGTGACAGATCAGACTCGTCTTTCACTGTTATTAATTGGCCTAATTTCAACATTGCTGTGTCTTAGGGCATGGAGAAGCCCGAGGAGAAGGTGCGATATGGGGAACAGCTGGTCAGTGGACCAGTCAGAACATACACATTTATCAAATAAGTCATCATCTTGTGTGAGCACGGTTCATGGCACTCCAGAACAATGCCAGTAGTAACATCAAAGATCACTGATCACAGTCACCTTAATAAGATATAATAATAATGAAAAAATTTGAAATTTTTCGAGAATTACCTAAATGTGACACAGAGACATAAAGTGAGTCTGTGCTGTCGGAAAAATGGTGCCAATAGATTGGCTTGATGTGGGGTTGCCACAAACCCCGTTAGAAAGGCAGTATCTGCGCAGTGCTGTGAAACGAGGTATGCCTGTACTTGATTGTTTTTAATTCATAGGTTTAACATTTAAATTCCTTTTAACCAGTAGCATGCATTTGTGAATAACGTGGAACTTTAATTCACTAAGATTTGTTTATCAATTAAAGGTTTCTTTCAGGTAATTGAAAGATATACATATCAGTGTACATAAAATCTAACTTTTTGGGAAAAGTATAATTATGTGTATAATATAAAAATAATAATAATAGAGTAAAAATAAAAATAATAGAGTCTTCAGATATGTATTTGTTTTAATAAAACAATTTAGTGTTGACAGATACAGGATACCAGCTAAGGTCTAATTTATTTCTACTTTTTGTAGAATATTTTCCTTATGAAACCATCCTTTAAATGCTACAAGCTTAAGGTGGGCAAAGATTAATGCCACTGGAATCTTTAAAAATTTTAATAATGAAATATGTTTTCCTTTTCATATTTTAGAATATTATTAGTTGGAAGTCTTTTTAGGATGAATTTTAGTTCTATATTCAGTATCTGTGTTCAAATAGTAATGTAGGAATTTTCTTATTAGCATTTACTTTTATGTAAACATTTTTTTCTTTCTTATAGATTTGCTTTGAAGTCACATTGATATGAAATATGGAGTCACCTTTGATAACTTCACCTGGGAAAGAGAGACTTCTTATTAAAATTATATAAGGACAACAAATGACGAAAGGAATCATGCCAAATTCCAACTCTACATCTTTTTGTATCATCAAGATATATATTTTAATCCATCAAGACGGATGACTTGTATGTTAAAGGAAAGGATTTGTTCATCAATATTATTTTTAGTAGTTTTAAAGGAATCGTTTTCAACTTTATACAACTCCTATAAAATTTACATATAAAAGTTTTTAAGACCTTGTTTAAAATAGCTTTCTTTTTGAGCGCTCAGAGCTTCAACATTTACACACTCATTTTTACTTGCCAAAGTCCTCAAAAATTTATAACATCAGAAAAGATATGGACTTGGAAACTTACATTATTATAACAGAGTGCAGTGCATTTAAGTGGACAATTGGAAACATCCATTTTATCAGAAATATCACATAAAAGTATACGGTTCTTAGCTTTAATGCAAACAAAGTTGCTTGGAAATGGCGTGGGTAAAATTCTTACGGAAACCTGGTGGCAATCTTGGAAAAGTTTATCAGCCTGGGAGTATGCTGTCACTAGCCCCTACCAAAGGCTTGTTAAATGAACCAGGACAGAACAGCTGCTTTCTTAATAGTGCTGTACAGGTGAGGCCATAATTGTTAAATTTTTAAAAATACTTTTCAGGAAATCACTTGCTTAATGCTTATTTAACTCATATTTTAAGAATAAAGTTACTATTGACTGGAATGACTTTTTAATATCACTTTTAATGGAACAAAAGTATTTTGGCTGGGCATTTTATTTTTTATAATAAATGGAAATGGTTATTTTAATAGAGTGATGTATTACTATGATATAAAAATCTTTTGATTTAAAATGTTTATTTAGTAGATTAGGAATAGTTTTCTAAAATACGTAAAAATTTTTCTTTTATTCAGCTAACACCCTCACCCCCCTTTTTAAAAAAGGAAATCCAGGGTAAATCTCAATACCTATGATAAAAGAAATAAGCTGCTTGGATTGAAATGAGAATGCAGAGTTTTTGGTCTCAGTACTTGAAGTCTATTCAGCACCCACTGTGGCCCTTACATCATCTCCATGGAATCCTAATTCGGGCACCACCATTTTGGTTAAATTGAAAGTTAATCCATTTTGCATCAATCCTTGTGGAATTCTTTTAATTAACATATGTGTATTAACCAGCTTTCTGCCTTAGGTGAATATCCTTTCTTATGTATAGCAGTAGGTTTTATTCAACAGTTCCAGATTTTGTTGGGTCCTGTGTTCCTCTGACCATTGACTGTAGAATACTGAAGGTGAGGAGGATTTAGAATATGAAATGTTTTCTATTGACCCTGGAAGATATCTCAAAAGAATTCATTTAAAATTAATCACTTTTTACATAGATTCATTTTTTTTTTCCTCTTCAAAACTGAGAGGAGAGAGAGAAAAATATTGATTAGCTCATTTGATAAATAAACACATCTAGAGTGTGTCAAGTGTGCAGACATCTGACTCAGAGCTATGTTCTCAATTGCCCTCTACCTAGGACAAATATCAAACTTGAAAGTTCTTTAATTGACCCAGGCAAAGAGAAGAAATTGGTATTAGGAAAGCATTAATTCTAATTTATTATGCTTTAGGAGCCTTCACTGGTGGTCATTGATTCTGTCCTGGATCAAAGATCCCACTGGCATTAAGTACTGTGAGAAATGCAGAAAAATATTTATTGAGTGACACTCGATATAGAAATATCAGATACCCGAAGGACCTGGTGTTCAATCCTTTTGATTGAATCAAGCTGTGAGAAAGGGCTTTTATCATTTCACATCTTTTCCTCTTACCTCTTTTCTTGCTCTTTTCTACTTTTACATTTTTTTCCTCTATTTCTGTCCTTTCTTTAGCTCCCAAAATACTGTGTCTAGTTTAGGGAGACTAAAAACATATTGGAATAGGAGAAAATTGTGAGTAAGGAAACTTACATGGTAAAGAAGATGCAGAAGTATTCCTGTGGGCATATGTTTTTTTAAAAAATTGAACATTCCACTGACTTTTACCATGAAGACTGTTCATACTTACCTGCACAGTTCCTGTTTCTGATGCCCATCACTTCCTTGCATGGATCCATATTTCCATCTGATATCCATTTTTTTTCTGCTCAAAGGATTTCTCTTCTAGTGCAGGTCTACTGGTAATGAATTCTTCCACTTTTGTGTGAAAAATATCTATGTTTCACTTTTGTCTTTGAAAGACATTTTTACTCATTAAAGAGTGTCTAAGTTGACATTTTTCTTTCAGTACTTACACAGATTTTGTTTCTCTGTGTTTTAGTGTGCATCATTTCTAATGAATAATCTATTCTGATCTTTGTTTCTCTGTCTATAACTTGTTCTTTTTCACTGCTTTTAAGATTTTTTCCTTATTACTGGTTTAAAGCAATTTAATTAGGATGTGTCTTCATATGGTTTTCTTGTCTCTTATATTTGGGTTTGTTACACATCTTGGGTCTGTGAGTTTATAATTTTAATCAAATTTGGAAACTCTTGGGCTATTATTTCTTCAAAGAATTTTTCTGTCTCTTCCCTCCTTTGGGGGGGACTTCAATTACATTTACCTGTATAGTTGGTTGCTTGAAGTGATTCCACAGCTCACTGATGCTCTATTTTCTTTCTTGATTTTTTTTTTCCATCTCTTTTATGTTGTATGGTTTCTCTATTACTGTGTCTTCAAGTTCATTAATCTTTTCCTTTGCAGTGTGTCTAATCTGCTGTTAATCCCATCCTTTGTACCTTAGACATTGTAGTTTTCACCTCTAGAGGTTTGATATAGGTTTTCTTAAAATCTCAGTTGTGTCTCTACTTAGCATGTTCAGTCTCTTACCTCTAGTCTCTTAAAACATATGAAACACAGTTGTAATAATTGTTTTTATGTACTTGCATTCTAGTTCTGTTGTGTAAATTCCGGGTGAGTTTCAATTGTTTGTTTTTTTCCTTTCTTCATTCTGGGTTGTATTTTCTCATTTCATTGAATACCTGGTAGTTTTTATTAGATGTCAGACAGATTTTACCATATTGGGTTATGGATATTGTATAGTCTTAAAAATAATCTTGAACTGTGTTCTGGAATGGAGTTAATTTATTTGGAAACAGTTTGATCATTTTACTTTTAAGCTTTGTGAGGCAGGACAGAGCTGTGTTTATGCTAGGTTTAATTTTTCTGCTGTTGAGATCCTTCAACCAGTGCTGTGTGGACTATGAAATTTTCCACTTTGGCTGTGGGAATATGCATATCCTGGGCCTGTGTTAGCTCCGGGCACTATTTATTCTACTCCTTTGGGATATTTCTTTCCCTGGCCTCAGGCAGTTTCCTCATATTACCCAAATGCTGGCGGAGGGGTCCTCTACCTGACCTTGATGTTAACTCTCTGTGCAGCTCTCTCCTCTGCAGTACTCTGCCCTGCCAGCTGTAGCAGGTTTGGGGGTATCTGCTGGTCCCTGGTGTTAAGACATTTGCCATATAAACTAATTCACAAAGCTAATCCTCGTTGACAAAATAACTTTTTAAGTAACCTTTTTATCAGAAAAGGCCTGGCTTTTAAAAATTTGAAATGCAAATGTTACTATGCAATTTGGTTAATACTTTTAAAAAACTGCTGAAATAAGTTGTGGACTATGTATTATAAGAAATTACTAAAAGCAGACATTATTAAAATGTCGTGGATCTAATGTAAGTCAGAAAAATGGATTTATATGCCATTTCTTACTACTTAATATTTAAGCTATCTTTTATATTATTTTGGAGTAAGGAATATATAATGAAAGATTTACTTTCCTTTATTTAATGTGTATGCAGGTTTACATTGATCTTTTGGGAAAAATAAGAAATATGTATAAACATTCAACAATAGCTATATTAATTTTGTTAGGCACCATTTAAATTTTGACTTGCAAATAGTGAAAAAGAAAAAAGTGTATATTGCTAGAAACTAATTAATTCAACAACTAGCTTAAACTTTTATTTTTTTAAATGGGCAGTAGAATATAATCAACATTTTTAAATGAAATAGGATAAGGATTAACTAAAAGAATTATTTTGTGATAGGGATTTGTTAAAATAGGCTTTATACTATTGTTTTGAATACTGTAATGTACAGAGAACTTTAAAGAACTCACATAAAATGATTTTTCTGTAGTTTGATCCAGTGTTAACCTAAAAATGTTGCTAGTACATTCCTAGCAGAAAACATTCTAGTTACATTTGAAAGACTGTATTAACTATATAAACAGATGATAGAGGGCATTTTATTTTGGCTGAATATTTTAAACTTTTATCTGTTGAGAAAGCAACACAATTACATAGGTATGGCATATCAGTGTGGTTTTTTTTTAACTTCTCCGAGTTAGAAGCAAAGTTAGAATATTTAATAACTAACATTTATTGTGTTCTTACTATGTACTAGAAGCTTGACTGAACATTAGATATGTTACCTAATTTAATCCTTTTAACAACCCTAAGAGGTGGGTACTACATTTATCCTTACTTTACTGATGAGAAAACTGAGTCCCAGAAAGCATTTTGTCTGAGTCAATACAAGAGCTGGTAAACAGTAAAGCCAGAATGAGCATCTGGGTGGCTTGCCTTTAGATGTTCGGTTACTAACCACAGGGCCATACTGCTTCTAAAGTTGTGCTGTCGTTGATCTCCGTCTTTGTTGGTAAAGTGGATTTCAGTGTTTTTTTTTTTATAGTGTGATAGAATATGAAATGCAAGAACATTATCAAACATTATTAACAAAATGTTCATAATGCATTAACATTATTAAACATTATCAAGTGCTTTCAAAAACAGAGTTATTTCTGATAGATGAATGGAACATATTAGTTATGCTTTAAGAAAAAGCAACTTTTAAAGGGAAATTCCAAAATGACCTTTAGTTATGGAGTAGTTGAAAATACACGAAACATTAAAACTGATTTTGTTTTTATTAACTTTTTATTAATATTTTTAGTCAGAAAAGAGAGAACATGAATGGATTTTCTTAGTTATATTATTTGAGGACATGACTAAAAGATTAGAGAAACTTGAAGGTCTTGTTTACTGTACTCGTAATAAAAGCCACAGATAGCCGCTGGGGTTTGCTGCATGCCAGCTGAGTGCCAGCCCTGCTCTATACATGTTACATGTTGCCACCTGTTATTTAATCCTTACAGGAACTCTGTGAGACAGGCACTGTTACTATCCCCCTTGTACAGAATGCAGGTTTTTCAGAATGATCTTGGGTACTGGGCTGATTTATTTTAACACTTAGTCTTTTTTGTTTGTTTTGTCTTTGTCTTTTAGTAGCAGGTGATGAATGGATAATTGCAGCAAATATATTCAGGTTATTTCTTACCTGCTGCTTCATTACCACACAGACAGCCCCTTTCCTTTTCGGTATACAAGATCACACACACCTCTGCTTACCCTTTTTTCTTTCCACAGTGCCCTGACCCCTGTTTAGTATACTCTGGCTTCAAAGTCTAATGATATTTCCTTTTTAGATTTTGGTTTGTTCCAAGTATTACAGTCACTTCCTCTTTCATGTCTCAGCCAAATCCTCTATTTAGTATCCTGTGTTTCCTATTCATATCAAATCCTTAACTGAGGAGTCAGTTCTGCCCTATTCTACGCTTGTCATGGTTTTTCATGTGAAACAGCATCCTCTAAATCCATCTTTTATATGTGTATAACATGTATGTAGTGGTGTTACACTTGCTGTTATTTCTAGTGGTTGTGTATGCTGATTATGTACAGGAGAGTAAAATAAGTCACTTAATAACCTTTTATAATTTTTAAAATATCTAAATCTGTCTTTTTTTCACCATGAGGAAAATCTCACTGTGTTTCTTTTTCCTTCCCATCTCATTGTTTTTTAGGTTTTATGGCAATTAGATATATTCCGACGAAGCTTGCGGGTTCTGACTGGACATGTTTGTCAGGGAGATGCCTGCATATTTTGTGCATTGAAGGTAACCTTTTAATAGTTCTGAAAAATTGCTATCAGTTGTTTCTCCAAAAATTTAATTTTCATAGTTGACCTGTTTGGTCAATTTGTTTATAACTGAAGTTCACTGTTGAGTGATTTATAGTTTTGAAGATGAATAATATGACTTAGTTTATGTTTTCATTTTCTACTTTTATATAGTACAGTTAAAATTTAATATTGTAAGTAGTATAAAATGGTTAGGAATGCTGTATTTTTCATTATTTTGAAATAATTATTTGTTTTAGCAAATGTTTTTTGAGCTTCTACACTGAGTTCTGGGTCCTACTGTTGTAGTTACTGAGGATAGATACAGCAGTGAACAAAACTGATAAAAATCCTTGTTCTCATGTAGCTTGTGTTCTTACGGAAGAGGAGACAAAAAGTAGGGAAAATATACAGTATGTTAGATGACACTAATTGTAACAGTGGAACAATACAGCAGGGAAAGAGCATAGGGAGTGTTGAGTGGCCAGGAAACCCCACTGAGAAAGCCACGTTTGACTCAAGACCTGGAAAAGGTGAGAGTGAACTGAACTATAAGGCCAGGTATTGGGAGAGCCTTCCTGGCAGACAGAGAAACAGCCACTGTTTCTGGAGGTGGAGGAAATCTGGGTGGCAGAAGCTTTGCAAGCAATAGAGAAAGAGTGGCAAGGGCGCTCAGGAGTGAGAGCAGTCGAGGTGGGCTTTAGAACACGTCTGCAGATTCTTGTGCACTCTTCCTCGTCCAAAGTCTAGTTCCTTGAATATGGGCTGGCCTTAATGGCTGATTTCTATCAAATGGAATGTGGCAGAACCGAAGCTGCAGGACATCTAAGATTAGGTTAGATTAGAAAAGGTCATACAGCTCCCTCCTGGCTCTTCTTTTGAGGGGCTCGTTCTTGGAAGCGAGCCACCAAGCTGTGCGGAAGCCAAGTGGCCGTGGGGAAGGCCACACGGGCATTCTGGACACAGTGAGAGCAGAGGTCCCAGCCAACAGCCAGCATCAATCACTGGACATCGACCTGCAGATGATTCCAGGTCCCGGCACTCAAAATGTCCCAAACGACCCCAAGTGGAGCAGAGATACGCTTTCCTTGCTCAAATTGCAGATTCATGGTCAAAATAAATGTGTCTTATTTTCAGTAACTAAGTTTTGGGTGGTTTGTTATCAGGCAATAAATACCTGGAAAGGAGTTGACTTTGTATAGGGCTTCACAGGTCTTTGTGAGGACAATGACTTTTTCTCTGAGTGATTTAGGGAGTTTTCGGGTGGTTGTTAAGGAGAAGAGTGATAGAATCTGTTTTAAGTGGATATAATGTTTGAACTAGATCTTTTAGGCTGCTGTGCGGAGAAGAATAGAAGGAAGACAAACAGGGAGTTCAGTCTATGTTAGCAACTGTTTGTGTCATTGAAATCATGTCCCAGAGTGGAAGATTTTATTAACATGTTTTAGAGATAAATGTTTCATTTTTTTACATTCTTGAATAGTCTTAATAAACACACCCACATATACACAGTAAAAGAAAAAACATTTACGTGCCCTAATTTCTTTATGTTCCTGAAAAGGCAGTTAGAAACTTATTTACTAAAAATAAGACACATTTATTTTGATTACAAATCTATGATTTGGGCAGGGACAGCATATCTCTGCTCCATTTGGCATCACCAAAGGAGGAAATTTTATGTTCTCTTTTTCAGAACATGGTGAAATAAGGTTATTGTTAGGAGATAAAGAATGATCCCAGATCAAGTTACAGTATCACATTTTATTTACACCACAGTAAATTTCGAATGTTTTGTCCCATCGTAAAAACTAGTATAATTTCCTAGCCCAGCTCCTTCAGAGCCTTGCAGTCACCTGCCCGCCCCCTCTGCTTGCCTTCGTCCCCATAAATACATTGCACCCTAGCTAGACTGCCCTCCATTTCTCAGAGCTGGCTCCCGTCTCCACGTCTCCTCCTCGTCATTCCTTTTGTCTGGCATGCTTTTCTTCCAGATGTCCTCATGTCTAACGACCTTAATTCCTTTGCCTCTCCTCAAATTTCTTTTTTACAGTAGCCTTCCCTGGCTACTGTAGGTAAAAAGTAAGCCGCCTCTGTCTATCCTGCCCCTGGCATTCATAGTCCCCTTACACTTATTTTTCTATCTGGTATTGTATTAATATTTCTTTATTTTTCTCTGTTGTACTTACCACTTTCTGACATATAATTAATTTGCCTTCCCAGTGCTACAACTAGAACGTAAGCTCCCTGTGGGCAGGTTTTCTAGTGTAGAAAAATGCCTGACATATACTAGGCAAGCAAACAGTATCTCCCAAGTGAATGAATGAATGACAGTCTTGTGTAGGATTAAGATCTTAAACATTCCATGAGAAAGTTAATTATCTAAATGAGAGATAAAATCTGAAAAGCTTTTTTCTTGCTTAAATTCAGTAAAGAAAATAGAAAAGCAGATTAGCAACTATAATCTCATGTTCTTGAATGATGTTTCCACAGTTTCTTAGGCCTAGGTTTCCACAGTTTCTTAGGCCTAGGTTAGACATACAAGCTGAGGATCCCTTATCTGAAATGCTCAGGACCAAAGGTGTTTTGGGTTTTGAATTTTAGAATATTTGCATCTATGTATTTACCAGTTGAGCATCCCAAATCTGAAATTGCATTTCCTTTGAGCATCATGTTGGTGCTCAAAAGGTTTCAGATTTTGGAGTATTTTGGATTTCAGATTTTCAAGTTTGGGATGCTCAAACTAATTCTCTAAGTGAGGAAAATTGTTAGGGACAGGGGAGCCTTTTCTTACAAGGTTAAAGGTTATCTGTTCTCGGCCAGGCGTGGTAGCTCACGTCTGTAATCCTAGCACTCTGGGAGGCCGAGGCAGGTGGATCGCTTAAGGTCAGGAGTTCGAAACCAGCCTGAGCAAGAGCGAGAACCCTGTCTCTACTAAAAATAGAAAGAAAGTAATTGGCAAACTAAAAATATATAGAAAAAATTAGCTGGGCATGGTGGCACATGCCTGTAGTCCCAGCTACTCGGGAGGTTGAGGCAGAAGGATTGCTTGAGCCCAGGAGTTTGAGGTTGCTATGAGCTAGGTTGACGCCACGGCACTCTAGCCCGGGCAACAGAGTGAGACTCTGTCTCAAAAAAAAAAAGTTATCTGTTCTCTGGCTCTTATGAAATATACATTTGCCTTTTTAAAAACCAAATTTAGTATAATGGGAAATTTCATTTTATTAAAGTCTAATTTCTGTTTGTTTTTAAATCAGAGTTTGTTTCCAAGGTGTTTTATTTAGACCTTAGTAGAAATAATGAAAGATTTTAAAATTTCCATGATTGGGCACAGTGGCTCTTGCCTATAACCTCAGCACTTTGGAGGCCAAGGCAGGAGGTTAGCTTGAGGCCAGGAGTGTGAGGCCAGCCTGGGCAACATGGTGAGACCTCATATCTGCACATACACAAAATTTTTTTTTTAATTAGCCAGGCACAGTGGCACATGCCTGTACTCCTAGCTACTTTGGAGGCTGATGGAGGAGGATCAATTTAGCCCACAAGTTCAAGGCTACAGTGAGCTATAATTAAGCCACTACCCTCTAGGCTAGCTGATAGAGTGAGACCCTGTCTCAAAAAATAAAATAAAATAAAATAAAAGTTCCTTTAGGTTATTTTCACTTTATATTTTAAAGACTAGTGAATTCCTACTAATTTTATGTGATTATATATTTATTTTTGGTTAATACAATTTTAATTCCTATAATATTTTTAGATTTACTGCAAGTTAATCTCAAAATTCTGTTCCTTAAAAAACCTGCATCAGAATCATCTGGGGGAACAGTTTAAAAATGGGCCTCACCTCAGGCTTATTCGGTTAGAATCTCCCAGGGCGTGACCTGAGAACTGTACACGTGTAATTTTTATGCTTGCTAACGTTCAGTTTAGAGGCTGCTTCAACCATTTCTACGCAAAACGAATAATCAATTTCCATATGGAATTTCAGGCCAAAAATGGTTTTGTATTAGTATCTCTATGTTATAGTGAAATTATTGACATTTTTTTAAGTTGTTGGCACTAAACTTACATTCGTGTTGATTCCCAGATAATATTTGCACAGTTTCAACATAGTCAGGAGAAAGCACTTCCCTCGGATAACATAAGGCATGCTCTTGCAGAAAGCTTCAAAGATGAGCAGCGATTTCAGCTCGGTCTCATGGATGATGCTGCAGAGTGCTTTGTAAGTATTTCCGATTATCCGTAAGACGTCAAAAGAGTAGCTTTCATTCCTTAGATCAGTGGTCACCAACCTTTTTGGCACCACTGGTGGGTGTGGAGTGGGGGTAGGAGGCGGAGCTCAGGCAGTGATGCGCTGGGTAGAGAGGGCTGGGCTGTAAATACAAATGAAGTTTTACTTGCTCACCTGCTGCTGTGTGAGTCCCCGACAGACTTTGACCCTACTGGGGGCTGAGGACTGCAGCTTTAGATGAAGCAAATTTTGAGACAAATGAAAAACTTTAGAACAATTGAGAAGTGTCAGAACTGGCTAGTGGATCCAGGTCTTACCTATCCTTCAAGGCTCAAATTATTTTATTTTATTTTATTTTTTTTGTAGAGATGGGATCTCCTTATCTGGGTCTCAAACTTCTGGCCTCAAGTGATCTTACCACTTTGGCCTTCCAAAGTGCTTGGGATTACAGGTGTGAGCCACCACACCCAGCATCGAGGCTTAATTTAAATCCATCTGTGTTTTGTGTTGTATTTTTGGGTTTGATTATTTGTGTTGCTCTAATTTTTACCAAGTATTAGGCCACTAAAAGCTTCACTAAATTTAAGTATATCACCTAAGTCAGTGTTGTGCTTCCAGAAGTTTTACATGTGTAACGTGTTCCCAGCAGCAATATTTCTCATTGCGTGCAGTGGTTCTCATGGGGAGAAAAGGGGATTTTGGTGGGCAGTTACTAGGGGCAGCAGTACTCATACCCACAGTCAAGGTTGAGAATCGGGGAGGTTGATGCTCTGAGGCTCTGTGTTACCACCATATTATTAAGTAGAGCCTTTCTTTGATAAGGTACATACCATATACATGTTCCAAAATATGTATGCTGATTATTAAATGTCTCAGTAATACAGATGTCAGCTATCTCTTCTCTCTTGGTTCTTGGTCCCGTTCCTGTTTAGCAAATTCTGTAAATTCTTCTTCACAAAACTTTTTAAAACATTTTCCTTTACCATATTTTTCTACCACAACTTCTTTCTAGTTCAGGCGTTTGCTCTCAGCATAACTAAGCCTCCTACTAATGTTCATTCAGCCTGTCCCTTTATGGTCTATTTTTAAATAACCACCAGATTCATATAAATTTCTTCAGGTTAGTGCTTACTCTTCAAATATTTCTGCGGTTCAAATGTAGAGTTTTTCTTCTCATCTTTAAGGCCCTTTACAGTTAAACTTGAGCTTATCTCTTGCTTCCCATCTAAATTTTTCTTCCTAATGAGATGGTTCCATTGTGTTCCTCATACATATTTTTTATATTCCTGATTAATAACCTTTGCTCAAGTTCCTAATATCTTCAAAAAAGTCATACCTCCCAGATAATACATAACTAAATCATCCCAATCCATTCCCTGAATTTTGGTAGAATTTAATAACTAGAATCCATTTGGCAAATTGTAATGCTGTTTATTAAATTTACTTTTTTTTTTCCGGCATATTATGGGGTACAGATTAAGTTTCAATAATGCCCATTCCCACTGGCCAAAGGTCTGGAGTCTCGCATCATGAACAGTCCCATAGATGGTGCAATTACATCATTAGTGTATGTATATACCCGCCCCCCTGCCCCCTCCACCTGCCCATACCTAACTGTAGTAACCTATGTGTCCTCTTAGGTGCTATCAGTTAATACAGGTTTGCATGAGATTTCTGGTGGCTTGTTTTCATTCTTTGGGATACTTCATTATGTATGGGTTCAGCTCTAACAGGAAATTAAGATGTGCGTTATAACCATTGTTTCTTAAGCTGAATAGTTACTCCATGTCATACATAATACCACATTTTTAATCCATTCTGACTTGATGGCACTTGGCTGTCCACAGCTTTGCGATTATGATTGCTGCTATAACATTCGAGTGCAGGTGTCTTTTTTGATAGAGTGTCCATTGATCATTGGTAGATGCCAGCATGGATTCTGGATCAATGGTGATTCACTTGTATCGGTTTAAGGTCTCCATATTGTTTCCACGAGTGTGAATAGTTTGCAGTCCACAGCAGTGTGGAGTTGCTTCCTCTCTCTCGCACCACCCAGCATTATTGTTTGACGAGAATATTTTTTGTATAAGGCCATTTCTCACGGGGTATAAGTGTTCTCATTGTGGTTTTGATTTCTTTCCCTGATGATTAGGATGTTGGAGCATTCTTCATATGGTTTGTTGGCCTTCTTCTGTCTCTTCTTTAGAAATTTCTGTCAAGTCCTTGCCCACTTTTTAATGGTCATTTGTTTTTTCTTCCTAATTTTGTGAGTTTCTAAATTTATTCATCCTTATCGGATGCAGTAGATGCAAAATTTCTCCCATTCTGTAGGTTGTCTGTTTATTTTCATGACTATCTTTGGGCTGTGCAGAAGCTTTGTAGTTTGATCATGTCATTTATTTATTTTGTGATGCTCGCGCATGCCTTTGGGATTCTTATAACTTTTTGCCCAGCGATGTCTAGGATAGAGTGTTTCCATTTTTCTCTAGATTCAATGTTTCAACTTAGGTTAAGTTCTGGTTATCCAGCGTGGTGTGGTTTTGTGTGAAGGTGAAAGGTGTGGGTCCTGTTTTTACTTTACAGTGGCTATCCATTTCACCAGCACTTTTGAAGAAGGGATTCTTTTCCCAGCGTATGTTTTTTTCTGCTATTGTCAAGATTAGATGGCGTATGAATGAGGATGGTTTTATATCAGGATTGCTCACATCTGTTCACTGGTTTCCGAATATTCCTATTTTTGTTGCCAATCCATATGTTTTAATTATTACAGCTTTTGTAATGTTTGCTATATCTGGCATATTAATGCCTCCCTTTGTTTTTGGTTGCTAGAATTGCTTTGATATTTGGGTCTTCTTCTGGTTCCATACGAGCGTAAATTATTTTTCTATATCTGTGAAGAATGCTGATGGGATTTTAATAGGTATTGCATTGAATCTGTAGATCAGTTTGGGTAGTTAGACTTTTTAATGATCATTGAGTCTGGCGGATCCAGAGCATGGTATGGATTTCCATCTGTTTACATCCTCTGCTATTTCCTTCCTCAGTGTTTCATAGTTTATTTACCCTTTTTTAAATGAGCATCTTTATGGTTTTTTTACACAGATGGAAAGACCATTGACTAGCACATTGCCTGACACTTGCATGTTGATTAAAATGTGTCAGTAATGAATGGCACACACAGTAACAAAATACACTCTTCATGTTTCTTGTGTTTATAATCGATCCATTGTTTAAAAGATAAATACATTTCATACAATATTGAGCTTTCTAGTTTTACTTTCACTTAAATGAAATGTATTATTAATACATGATGTGATAATTTATGCAATGCCTATAAATTCAGGCTTAAATTATTGAGTGGTTTAAATATTTTGGGGCCGAGGAGGGGGAAGTTAGCTAATGAAAAGAATCCATTGGTTATGTTTTGATAAAAAAGGATTATTATGTTAAAGAAATACCCCTTATTGATCTGTGTTATAAATCTGAGCATTCTTATGCAATTTGTTGCAGAGCTCTTTGCCTGCATTACGGTGTTAGTATAGATGTAGAGCCTTTGCTCCGCTGTAAGTTATATGGATTATCTGGATGATCCAAGTAGGATTTTTCAAAAGTTATCTGATTTTTCTCAATATGAGAATGCTGGGAATATAGGAATATATTAATGTGTTTTCTGACATTAAATTTTAGGTATCAGCCACCATGGGTTGGTTTTTAAAAGAATTTTAAAAATATTTATTTAAATCATATATTACATTATGATGTTTCCTTCATTAAACATTCTTTTAAGCTGACGCTACAAAAGGTGAATAATTGAACATTTGAAGTGTTGATTAGAGAGGAAAACTGAAAAGCAACAATATGTATAGCACTCCTAAATTTATACTTGAAAATCTTCAATTAAAAAGGGCAGTATTTGAAGTGTTCCCTGCAAGATCAGTAGCTCATTTGTCTTTATTTTTAAATTAGGAAAATATATTGGAGAGGATTCATTTTCACATAGTGCCAAGCAGAGATGCAGACATGTGTACCTCTAAGTCTTGTATCACTCACCAGAAGTTTGCTATGACTCTTTATGAGCAGGTGAGATGGCTTAATTATTTTATTGGATACTATATTTATGTATTATGATTGATAGATTAAACATATGTTTTTACCTGTAGTGTGTATGTCGTAGCTGTGGAGCGTCATCAGATCCTCTACCTTTTACAGAATTTGTGCGGTACATTTCTACAACAGCCCTATGGTAAGAACCTATTAAAGCATATTTGCTGAAGATATTAATAACACATTTAAGCACATTGAACACTTATTCTATAAAACCACAACATACTTGAATTTCCCCTCTCTAAGGCTAACAAGTATGCTACCATCAGAGATACTAAATGATTTCTCTCTCAGTTGGATGTTTATAATTTGTCCTAATGTATGTATCACTTAGTGAAATGTGGAAAATACTAGTCAAAACTAATATCTGTTTATATTAATAGCAAGTTTTTGGAACTGCGAAGGGAAGCTTAAAATGACAAACTCAGTGGTAAACAGAACTGTCGTGGTTTCTTCATTTGTGTTAAGATGTTTCCTTTGTAAAGGCCACGTGTCAGCTCCACTATGTCCCTTCACGGTGATAAAAGCTAGAGTAAGCAGAAAAGAAAGAAAAATGGGAACATAATTCTCAAGTTAGGACATTTGAGGGCTCAACATTGACCTTAAATAAAAATTTGCCATGCTTGCCTGCAGGACTGCCCCCTCCCTCTCTGTCCCTGACACCCTGACTGTCCAGGAAACATTAGCTAGTTAAGGATCCGAAAACAATTCCTTGCCCTTACATAATATAAAAGATTGTTTGAACACTTTCCAACATGCATTTGATAGTATAAATATATTTGATATGTGGTAACCATTGAATTTCAAGATCATAAATGTTTGCAGAAATTTTAATATGAAAGATATAACTTAGATGAATAATTATCAATTAGAATATATCAGTGCAACAGTTGATAAATGCTATCAGTATTTTCATCAGTGTGCAAAGTGAATATCATGTGTTCATCCATTTTATATTTAACTTCCTTGTTTCTTGGGCATAACACATTATTTCTTAAAGATTATTGAATAATTGGTTATTTGGGTTTGTTTAGTATCTTACATATACAACAGTTGGAAAACTGAACATTTCTGGACTTCCATCAATTGTAGTTAATTGTCAGTCATTTGTATGAAAAGGAGGATCTACTATAAGTTAATAAGGATAGACAATAAGTTAAAAATTGTAAAATTTTAACTTTACTTTGAAACTCTTGTTTGTATAAAATAACAGTGTTCTGAGGCAGTGTCTTAGATACTAAGAATTAGATCCCCATCAGTTTCTGCCTGGTCCACACTGCAAGTTGCAGAAGTACAGACTTTCACTTCTAATCCTAATATCTTTCTTTTTATTGATATTAAGTATTGAATACCAGTTATTGGATGCTCGCTATGTTCTAGGCTTTATGTAATTATCACTTTTAATCTTAAAAGCACTATTTTGTTGTCGAAAAAATAGGTTTAATGAGATTAATCTGGTAAGTGATGAATTAAAATTGAAACCCAGGTCTGTCTGACTTCAAAATTTGTCTGGTTAACTATTAATCTAATGCTGTCAGTTTTGTAAAACCACTATGTGCAATTTTAATGAGCTTATCAGATTTGGTGCTTTCTAGTATACTTATGAAGTGTTTGGAAGAGTACTTTTAGTTGTTACCAAACACTTGTAGGTTATTTAAACTATTAAACTGTAAAATACATCCAGCTCTGTGATAGTTACATTACTGTTAAGTAGAACCAGAACATCTAGAATGGAAACTAGTAAGGGCATTTCAATTTGCATTACATTCCTTTTTGGAACTGTTTGCGTAGTTGTTTAAAGGTACTTAATACCTTGATATGTAGTAATATGACTGTTAGAAAAGTTGAATAAAAAATGGCACAGATACCCTAATGAACAAAATGATTAATGTTCATAATAGGAACAAAAGGCACAATTCTGGCTTACATAACTTTGATTGTGACTTCTTCATATAATCAGCAAAGAGCTTTCTAGCTGAAATTGATAACTTTGCTTCTGGGAACTTTGGGCCAGAGAGGAAGCCTTTCCTCCAGTTTTGTTCTTGTTATGGCAGAGTTTAAACTCAAGTTTCCTTATTAAGTTATAGTGTAAAAGAAACATTTGCCTTAGAAATACCTCAGGACAGAGCACCTTACTTTCATGTAGTTGCAAACAAAAATATAACTCTGTGTTATTTTATTCTATACTTGGCCTATCTTTTTTCATCATATACCAGCCAAATTTAATAATTTTTTTACTTTATGGAAATATACTTAGTGGCTAAGTTTTCAGACAAAGTCATCTTTTAGGCAGAAAAGGTGATGCACATCTGTATTGACAGCTTAATATTTTTCTTGTGTAATTTATTAAAGTTTTAAGTTCGTAGGCCAGATTTAGGACTGCTTCTTTTTTTATAGCAATGAAGTTGAAAGAATGGTGGAAAGGCATGAACGCTTTAAACCTGAGATGTTTGCAGAATTGCTACAAGCAGCAAATACGACAGATGACTATAGGAAATGTCCTGTAAGTGTAATTTGGAGAATATTAGAATGCTTATATGTTTGTAAGTTTGAAAATAGACATTTGGAAATTATCATGTAAATATTCTCATACAGAATTTTTAAAAATATTAGATAACTTTATACCATGTGAGCTATTTATCTTAGCATTGTGTTTCTTTAAAAAGTCTTAATTTTGTGAAGGATTTAAGGTAGCATATATTGAATCTTTTCAAAGTTCTTAAATTTGTCATTTGACTAGAGAGAAAGTTTCTTTTTTTAAGTGAACATAATAAATTTTATTTTCTCATCTAATATTGTTAATGACTACAAGGGCTTTATTTCTGCTTTTTTTAGGTTGAATTCTTGTTTTAACAAATTTACAAAAATATCAAAGAATTTTTTTGATTTAAAATAAACTCATTTAATCAATAATTAAAACAAGTAGCTTATTAGAAGTCAATTTTTAGTATACTGAAGAAGTAAATTTCAGATATATGTTAAGATTGTCATTGTATAATACAAACTGTATAAGGCATTGCCTGTGCTATATTTTTTGATAATTACAAAACTTGCCTTCTGTGTTTTTTTTGTAGAGTAACTGTGGCCAAAAAATAAAAATTCGCCGTGTTTTGATGAATTGCCCAGAGATTGTTACAATTGGTTTAGTTTGGGACTCTGAACATTCTGACTTGACAGAAGATGTTGTTCGGAATTTAGCAACACATCTTTATCTTCCTGGGGTATCTTAACCTTTTTTGTTCTTTTCTCTTTTTTATTTTTAAATTCCTCTAAAACATCTTCATATATTTTGATACTCTTAGTTCTGTTTTTCAGAACTAAATTTCTTCCTAAGGGAAATAATATTTAGATGTACTCTAATAAAGATTAAAGGGATCAAATCAGGCTAAGTGAAATGCTTTCTTGCATAGACTAGGAATGTCTTTCAGTTACAAACTAAACTATCTCATGCTCTTTCCCTCTTTTACTCCACAATGATGATGATGATAGATTATTTTTAATATGTATGATCATGATTATAAATACAAATATTAACATTTTATCTAGAAAAGTTTAAGATTTAAAATTCGACTACAACAGTGATCTCTTTATATGCTTGTTTACTTCCTTAATACATTTTGAATTTGTTGATGTTACAATAAAAATTTTTGATGATTATCTGTTAAATAATGTATTTAATGTGTATTTAAATATATTTAAATATCTGATTCAATCAAGAATTACTAGAAATGTGCAGTTTATCTCACATTTTGAGTTTATATCTGTATGTAAAATGTCAGTCATATATTTAGATGCTTTATTACTAATTTGTAGTGAATTCATCTTATTAGACTTAAAGCTCCTATAGATGAATTAAAAGTAGTAATTCTGGTAACAGTACCATGTTAGTGGTACCTTGAGAAATATATTACTGGATTGGGGCAGTATGCATGAGAGACTTTTTCGTAATGATTCATCAAATTATTGTTCCTCATTTGTTAAAAGATACAGTATTAAATGTATATTACTAATTTTTTAAACAGCTTTTTTATAGAGTTACTGATGAAAATGCCAGGAATAGTGAACTTCACCTTGTTGGTGTCATCTGCTATACCAGCCGGCATTATTGTGCCTTTGCTTTTCATACCAAGAGTTCCAAATGGGTATTTTTTGATGATGCAAATGTGAAAGAGGTCAGTGACACTTTCACTAACTGGAATTGTTACTGTGGAATAAATGGATATAATGATATAATGGAATAAATGATATAATGATACCAAAATTATATTCTGTAAAATAATAATAGATGAGCATAATGATAATTATTAGTTTCAGACTTCCTTTTATTCTTTAACTTTATTTTGTAGCTAACTTTCAAACAAGCGCATTTCTAGACTAATAGAAGTTGACTAATGAATGTTAGGGATCATACGTAACTGTCAGTGATCCCTATGTCAGCAATACAGAGTTACAGTATATATTTCTTTGTGGATGATTCACTATAGTTTTATATAACTGGTGATAAAAACATGCTAGTCTTTTTCTTTTTTAATTCAGAATATTACGGGGGGTACAAGTGTTTTTATTTACATGGATCGCTTTTGTAATGCTTGGGTCAGAACTATGAGTGTGCCCATCTCCCACATAGTGTTCATTGTACCCGTAGGTAGGTTTTTGCCCATCTCTTCCTTCTTACTCCCCCCACTTGATTTCCACTGTGTTTTACTTCCCTTCATGCACATGTGCTCATTGGTTAGTTCCAATTTAATAGCGAGAACATACGGCGTCTGTTTTCCTTTCCAGAAGTGAAAAGGAAAGGAAAAATAAATTAATTAATTAAAAGGAAAATGGTCTCCTGTTCCATCCAAATTGTTGCAAAAGGCATTAAGTCATCCTGAGTAGTATTCCATGGTATACATATATCACATTTTGTTAATCCACTAATGAATTCGTTGGCACTTGGGTTGATTCCACATCTTTGCAATTGTGAATTATACTGTTGTAAAGTATTACCTTCATAATGATGGTAAATTATTCCTAGACTAAAGGTTGCTCTGGACCTGACATTAAAAAGCTTAAAATGAAGCCTAACACCCAACAATGTCAATTCAATAAAATTTCAAAATGCCATTTCAAAATGGCATTCAATAAAAAAAAACAAAAAACCAAATATGTAAAGAAGTACGAAAATATGACTCATAACCAGAAGAAAAGTTGCTGAAAACAGATGAGACATGACAAAGATGGAAATGTCAGACATGGATATTAAAACCACTATTTATATATAGATTTCTTAGATAACATTCAATATTTTATGAACCATACAAATAACTGATAAAGTAGACTCCATCAAAACTTGAAACTTTTGCTCTTCAAAGATACTATTAGGAGAAAGAAGTGAGAAGCCATAAGGACTGGGAGAAAATATTTGTCAAACTCATGTCTAATAGTGGCTTTATCTAAAATATTTAAGGATCTCTAACAATTCAATAACAAAAAGACAAACCCAATAAAAAAAATGGCCAAAAAATTTTGCCAGTTTTGTTGGTGAAGATATATGAATTGCCCGTGAAATGATATTCAATTTTAGCCACAAGGGAAAATACAAATTTAATTCACAATGAGGTTCTAGTACTCACCCATTGTAATAGCCAAAGTTTAAATAGCCATAACCAAGAGTTGGCCAGGATGTGGAACAGCTAGATCTCTCACATGAGGCTGATGGAACTGTAAAATTGAACAGTTGCTTTAGAAAACAGTCTGCCAGCTTCTTTTGAGTTTAAACATACGCATACCAAACAGCCCAGCAGTTTCACTCCTGTGAAAACGTGTCATCCACATAAAACTTGTACTTGAATATTTGTGGTAGTTTTCTTCATAGCAGCCAAAACTGTCCAACAACAGGTGAATGGATAAACAAATTGTGTTATAGCTACACAGTGGATAACAATTGTGTTATAGCTTATACATCAATAAAATGGACTGAAGTGTATCGATACATTCAGTCATGTGAACAAAGAAGCATCATGCTAAGTGAAAGAAGCGAGATGTAAATGACTGCATACTATGATTCCATGTATATGGAATTCTGGAAAAGGAAAAAACAAAGGTATAGAAAATAGATTGGGGTGAGGATTACATGATTGTATATATTTGTCAAAACTCACCCACTTACTAGATAATTTTATGTTATCTCAATAAAGCTGTTGAAAAAATTTTGGTATTCTAAAATCTATACTTTGCTTAAATTACTTAGCACTTGATATAGGAGTTTATTAAGAAGTTCTTTCTTGAGTCAGTGTAGCAACATTTTGGAGTTCCTACTTTGCAGTTTAAATTGTCAAAATTTAGAGGAAGAATGGGGTGTATAAATCACTCCATGAGGTTTCTTGTTTTTTGTTGTTTTTTTTTTAAATTGACTCCTCAGGTCTCAGAATCCCAGATGAGTAGGGTAAACAGCTGAATATGTGTAGTCTGAAAAAGCTCCTTGAGGTTTTTTTTAAAGGCCTTTTCCCTGTAAAAGTATTCTAGAATCTCTTACGGGTTTTTTTTGTGTGTTTGGTTGGTTTTGTTTTATAAATCAACTTTATAGAGGTATAATTTACAAACATTAAAATGTACCTATTTTAAGTATACAGTTTGGGTTTTGATGAATGTGTTCAGTATACAGAACATGTTCATCACCCCAGAAAAATTGCATTGTGCTTCTTTGCTGTCAATTCCCCTACTCTACTCCAGGCCCAGGAAATCCCTGTTGTCACTAATTTTACATAATAGTCTCTTACAGTATGTCTCTGGCTTTCTTCCTTTAGCATAAGGTCTTTAAGATTCATTCATTTCATTTGTGTCAGCGCTTCAATTTTATTGTGTTCCATTTCATGGCCATACAACAATTTATCCATTTGCCTGTTGAAGTGTGAACGGTCTTTGTGTGAACATGTTTTTTTCCATTGCTCTTACATAATATGCAGAAGTGGGATTCCTGGGTTGTATGCTAAGTGTATGTTAAACTTTACAAGAAACTATCAAATTGATTTCCAAAGTGAGTGTAACCAGTTTACATTTCCTGCAAGCAGTGCACAAGAGTTCCTGTGTTCCACATTCTAGGCAGCACTTTATGTTGATTGTCTTTCATTTTAGCCTGTCCTGTGGATGTATATTACCTCACTATAGCTTTAATATGCATTTCCCTTGTGATTGGTTTTGACCATCTTTTCATGTGCTTATTGCTCAAATGTTTAGCCAATATTTCGTATTATCTTCTTGTTAATGAGTTGTAGGAATTTGTTCTGCATACTCCTTAGGTATATGTTGCTTTTTTCAATTTCTTACTGGTGTCTTTGCAAGAGCAGAAGCTATTAATTAACTTTGATGAAGTCCATTTTATAATTTTTTTTCCTGTGGTTTGTGTGGTATCCTATCTAAGAAATCTTTGTCTTCCCCCATGTTATAAAGATTTTCTCATTTGATTTCTTCTGTAAGTTTCATAGTTTTTATGTGATCTATTTTGAGTTAATTTTTGTTTTTATAGGGTATAGGATTAAAGTTCTTTTTCTCATATGGCTGTCCAGTTATTCTGGCATAATTTGTTGAACAGACTCTTTTATATTTCTCCATTGAATTGCCTTGAGATCTTTGTCAAAAGTCAATCAACCATGTATTTGGAAATCTTCTAAAAATTGATGATTAAGACTTGTTATAGAAAGTCTGTAATCTTTTCCCATCAATTTTTTAAATGATAATGTTTAAAAGATTTTTATTTAGACTATTTACTAAATATAATTAATTCTTATATAATATGGTGGACACAAGAACTGATAGCATCTGAATGTCTTTAAAATTTTTTAAAATACAAACTTGAATTCAGAGTCTCTGACTTTCATATAATACATTGGATTACAAGTGTGTGTGTGTGTGTGTGTGTTTATTTTAATTCACTGTGTTTTTTTTTTTTTAAAGATTGGAACTAGATGGAAAGATGTTGTCTCCAAGTGTCTCCGATGCCACTTTCAGCCACTGCTTTTGTTTTATGCAAACCCAGATGGCACAGCAGTTTCTACTGAAGATGCACTTAGGCAGGTTGTCAGCTGGTCACATTACAAGTCTGTTGCAGAAAATATGGGTAATTCTTTTCTTTTTTAATTTTTCAGTGTTTTCTATTTAACTAGGAATATTAATATACTGGATATAAAATGAATGTTCAGGATAATTTCAAGTGCAAGTTTAAGTAAAGTGGAGTTCAGGAAAAATGTTAGTATTTGTTGTTAATCTTTAGAAAGGAACCTTTCCTCATCAGTGGCCTCAGAAGTACTTTCAGGAGTCACCTACTGTTAGAGTCACACAAGCACGGAAGAGGCTGCTTGGCTGGTAGCTCTTTCTAGCAGTAAATTTTAAGCGATTTAGTAAACTAGGAAAAGTCCAAAGCAGTTAGGCCATACTTGGATGCATTGCAGAGCATGTAGAAATCTTTAAGCAATGTCAGCCCTCTAAGTTTTAGGTAATTTTGTCTACAGTTAAAAATGTCTGAAACAATGATTCAAATGTCTCTTCTACTGATGGGAAGGGAATGATCCATTTTTATCTTTTGCAGGATGTGAAAAGCCTACAGTTTATAAGTCAGATAATTCAAAAGAAAATGGATTTGGTGATCAGGCAAAACAGAGAGAAAATCATAAGTTTCAAACTGATAATATTTCAACATTTAATCGGTGCCACATTCAGACAAGTGGAGGGAGAGGACCAGGTAGGTATCTATATTGTTATTTTTACATTGTTCCTGACCAGCTAAATGTCCTCCTTTCTTCACTTACTGGATGGTGCTTAACTAGCTTTCCTTGGCCAGAAGAGAAAATAACAAGTAGATAACAAAATTTGGTCTTTGATTTCTGTGTTTCTCGGAGAGCTGTAGTTTTCCTGACCAGTTTGATTCGACAAGTGGTGTGAGGTTCTCTGTGTGCTCAGAACTGTGGAAGGCCTGAGGTAATCGGGACAGTTACCAAAGGAAGCTATAATGTAGCTTTTCCTTCAAGGAGTTAATAGTCAATTTGGAGAAGAAAAACATGAGATAATAATTTGGCATATACACCAAAATTAAATTTACTGTTAGTGAATGCAACAGTAGTTCAAAGTTACTGTAGCTGTAGATTGTTCTTGATCTTATTTTTATTCAACTCTCTCTCGTCATCATTCCGTGACTTTCATTTTCACAAGCCAACTTCTGTGACTTGGGTCAAAGTGAGACATCACAGTACTGTGTGTATCTGCGGTTTAGAAATACTAAAACTCTTAATTGTGTGGATGTTCAGGATGATTTTATAAGCAACTTATTTAAATATATAGTAATGAAATAATGTCTAGCCACAAAAGTAACCCATTCAATCAAGGGTAGTAAGATCCATAGTTAGCAATTATCATCCACAAAGAACTACAATAAAGGCTTTTAAAAATTCTTAATGAAACTATAACTTTTTTTCCTTTCATAGATTGTTGATACTCTTTAACACATTTTTGTTTTTCAAAAGACACCTACTTTTAAGTCCCAAAACAGTGCGTGTGTGTTTGAGAACACAAGCATTGGAACCAGGTAACTTGGGTTTATATTCCAGTTCAGTACTTACACCTGGGCAAGTTTCTAATTTCTTTCTGCCTCAGTTTCTGTACCTGAAATGGAGGTAATAATGGTACCTTACCACAGAGGTTTAAGTGACCACTCAGTTACCTGAAGCTCTTGTTATTTTAATGGCAGGTCTCTTTTAATTCCTTTGTACTTGCTTTAGGGGCCATACAAGAACTTTTAAAACACAACATGCATCTCCAGTGTCAGGAAAAATCATGTCGCATTTTTTTCATTAAGCATAAAAATGAGCTCATTGTTTACTTTAATTAATGTTGTATGTTTAATATGTAACATCTTAAATTTTTATATAGTTCAGTTTTTAC